TATATGTAAATTAATTTCATTATATACTAAAAATTTAATTCACAATTGTTACTGCAGCCCAACAATTCAAGCGTATCACAATTTCAGCGAAAACGAAAATTAGATATATATACATATATATATATTTATATAAATTTATTTATATATTATAAAGTTCGTTCTTTTTGCCTTTTTTTCTGTTACAGGATTATATTCTAGCTGTGACAAAAGCCAAAGAGTGATAGCGGCTGCAGTTGCTGCAAACAACAGCAGCAGCAGCAGCAACAACAACAAAAGCTACAAAAACAAAAGCAACAACAACAAGCAACATAATTAAATTTTCGTGTGCTCAGTAGAACGAACGAGCGAACTTGACGCTCACAAAGACCGAAGAGTTTGGAACAGGAAACGAAAGAGAGATTCAAGTAAAAGCAGCAGCAGCAGCAAAAGCAACAGTACCGAGACCATGGCCACACCCACGCCCACATTTTGAATACCGTTGAGCGGCGCTGAAGAGATTGACGCAAAATCATGAAATATTGCACAGTTGAAGTGATTTTTATGAACTCTTGAAAGTAGCTGCGAGACTAGCAGAAGAATAAGGAGACGAGCGCTAACGAGCTTAAGCATAAGATGCCTGAGCCCCAAAAGCGCATAGAAATTGCCTCGAATGCGTCCGTCAAGGAGGGCACAAAACCGGGAAGATATCGGACTGGACTGCCGCTGTTGCTGCTTCTGATGAGAGCAAGGCAAATGATAGAGGCATTGGACACTGAGCTGGATTAGGCGAGGAAGACATTGAGAAAAGAGAGAAACCGCTTTGATAATATTATTAAATGAAAAATTTAAATGGAGTTAAATTATAAGACATTGAACATGTAAATGGGAACTGATCAAAATATAATTTATATATAATTACAAATTATATATAAATATATTTCTATTCTATATATTATTACAAAACAATTTCAAATATTAAAATTGATTAATATTTATTATATTTTTATTTATTTATAGCTTTTTTTTATATTTTCATATACAATATATTATTGAACATAACTAATTTAATATCTTATCTATTTAATACAATGTAGATTTTTTATTATTTTCTTGTTATATTACAATATTTGTACTATAAATAAATATGCAAATTTAATCTACATTTATTTATTGAATTACATTTTTTATACCCTGAACCCATTGAAAATGGGAAATCAGGGTATAATGGTTTTGTTAAAAGTATGTAACAGGCAGAAGGAGGCGTGGCAGACCCCACAAAGTATATATATTCTTGTTTTCTAAACTATTTTATTTATTTTTTTTTTTTTTACATAAGAATTTGTTAATATTTACTTAATTTAAATTAATAAAATTATATTTTGAATTAATTTTCAGTGCGCTTTTTGGAGACTTTTTATGCTTAATTGAACAACATAAAAAATATATCTAAAATTAAATCATGCTAGAATTAATAATTTTAAATATACATAATTTTTTATATTTAAACAAATTTTTTTTGGACTTAACGATTTAATATTTAAAAATTTTAATTTACTGCAAAAGTCGAAAAATTTCTGAGTACATTTCCAACTTTTAAGATCTACTCTTTCGTGATTTAAAAGAAAAATAATGTAGAAAATATTTTTGTAATAAATGAGCAAGTAGAGATTTGTTTTATTTATACTTGTCTAGTTCTCGGTATTTTTGTGTTATTTGTTGCGGCACGTTAATAAAGGCTGTCTGGCACCTGGCACCTGGCGCTGGCGAATATTCAGCATCTCATCTTGGCCAACTTCGGGCAGACATTTTGTGTTGAGTAATTCTTTTGTAATGCGGAAGGAAGTGCAAAAAACAACAGCGCGATGCGACTTCCGCTGAAGCGGCTGCCACTTGGGGGCTGGGGTTGGGGCTGGGGTTGAGGGCCCTGAAGTCATGTAAGTTGCGACTTGAGAAAACTTTAAAACAAAACTGACCTACGCGTGCGCCCCATAGCTGGACAAAGCTGCGAAGTTTGGCTTAGAGGCACAAGGGTGGAGCGCCAGGACCTGGATCTGGAACGGGAACTGGACCTGGACCTGGACTGTGGTTCGAGCAAGATAAATTGCTGCAGTGTTTAGTTAATACTTGCGCTGCTGAACGGTTCGCAGTTTGCCCCAACCCGATACAATTCAATACAAACAAGCCGAAGAAGAAACAGAAGCAGCAGGAGGAGGAGCTGCGGCAGCAGGAGCTGTAACAGTAGCAGCTGGCTGGACAAGTTTATCTTTTGTTACATTGACTTCCGCTAAAAGATGCTAAACTAGAAAACATTTTTTGCTTGGCCAGGGCCAGAGCAAACAGGAAAAGTTAAACAGAAATTAAGCGAAGTCGAGCCGAAGCGCTGCTGCTGAAAAAGAAAAGAGCGTATATACACTGAGAGAAATGCATTTAAGCAGCGTGAATCGGCACAAAGTGGGAGTAAAATAATAAAAGAAAAGGCAAAGGAATTTCTATTATAGCCTGTGCTTAATTTATTTTTAATTTTTTATTTTTTATTTATTCTAGATAAGGGTATATTAAATACTAAAAATATACTTTAAAAAATCTAAGAAACTGTTTCACTTTTATTGTTTGTCAATATTGAAGCTTTATTAAATATTATTTATTTATTTATTGTAGATACAAGTATAATAAATATATAATAAATTCTAAGAAACTGTTTCAGATTTTATTTTTATTTTTTTCACACTCACATATCTTTTCATAGTTTGTCAATCTTGAAACATTTTGTCAGTTCTTTGTTTAAAAGTTTGTTTATAATCTTTGTAAATTTCTACTTGGAAATTTTGGTAATATTTGTTGCGTTGTAGCAGCTGTCAGGCTGCGTCGCATTCCTGTCTTCGACTGCTGCATGTGAATATGTGTTTTTATAATAGTTATAAATTGACAATGGAGGGACCCAATAGATCAGGCTATCAATTTGTGACGCAGCTGGTGCGCATCGGCATCGTGGCCGTCGTCACCTACTACTGCGCCACGTGGATAATCAGCTCCGTGGATCCGACCAGCAAGGCCAAAAAGAAGGCCAAACGGCTGGCCCAGATCCAGCTGAAGAAACTGAACGAGATGAGCGGGCAGGGCAATAAGCTGAAGCTGAGCGATTTCAACAGCTATGAACTGATGATAGCCTCACATCTGATTGCTCCCGCCGATATCGATGTCAGTTGGTCGGACATTGCCGGCTTGGACTCGGTCATCCAGGAGCTGCGCGAGTCTGTGGTGCTGCCCGTGCGGCACAGGGATCTCTTTCAGCGCTCGCAGCTGTGGCGACCTCCCAAGGGTGTTCTGCTCTATGGCCCGCCCGGCTGTGGCAAGACGTTGATTGCCAAGGCCATGGCCAAGGAGGCGGGCATGCGTTTCATCAATCTGGACGTGGCGCTGCTCACCGACAAATGGTATGGGGAGTCGCAAAAATTGGCAGCCGCCGTCTTTACGCTGGCCCACAAGCTGCAGCCCTGCATTATATTCATCGATGAGATTGAATCATTTCTGCGCATGCGCGCCACCGCCGATCACGAGGCGACGGCCATGATGAAGACCCAGTTCATGATGCTGTGGGACGGTTTGCTAAGCAGCTCCAACTGTTCGGTCCTGGTGCTGGGCGCTACGAACCGGCCGCAGGATCTGGATAAGGCCATTCTGCGACGCATGGCCACGCAATTTCACATTGGGCCACCGCTGGAGCGTCAGCGCTTGGCCATACTCCAGGTGATATTGCAGCAGGAGCAGCTGCATCCCACCGTCGACCTGAAGCGCCTGGCCAACCTGACGCCCGGCTATTCGGGCTCGGACTTGCGGGAGCTGTGCCGCCACGCCAGCATCTATCGCATGCGGCAATATATGCGGGACCTGATGATCAAGGAGGGCAGCTGCGTCATCGATGCGAATGCGGTGGACGAAAACGAGCTGGTCATTAGCATGGACGACCTATTGAAGTCCTTGGTCAACATGAACATGTCCAAGCTGCAAACGGGCAGCACCTATTTGACTAAGAATATCGATCTGGACTAGCATATATGTATTTATATATATTTCTATATCTGCATAGTTGTGGGGACAAAAGTATATATATGTATATCTGTGTGTATATAGATGTCAGCTTAATTATAACAACAATTTGGTAAGAATTGTAAACCTTTTTTAAGAAATCATTTGACCTGATGATCAAAATCTGACGTTGAGGTATTCCCTGAGAAGTCTGTACAATGTTTGATAAATAAGCTGGGCTAAATTATTGTGCTTGAAAAGTGAACTTAACTGTATGAATATTAGAAAATAAATTAGTTGTATATTGAGCACATTTTATATATTCCGAGGAACAGCGGGTCTTAATTATATACATATATAGTATATAAATATATTATAATTTTAACAATTAAAAGCTAAAAATAACTATTTATTAGTAACAACTATTAATGGTAATGACTATTTGACATAAATTAAATAGATTGTACGAGTTTTTCAATAGTAGATCTTTTTTTTTTTATTTATTTATTTTGTGTCTCTTATCACTTACCACTTATATAATAATATAAATTATTCATATATTGTTATTATATTTTATTTAATTATGCATTATTATTGTTAATTAAATTTTTCACTAGTTTGATTTTTAAGGTATAAACCTCAATAGTTATATAATTCATACATAAATATTCTTATACAAACTTAAAAATTTTTATTAAATTTCTGAGTCTATAGCTCAAGACTCTCTCCGTTATTGGCCATTGGAGGCTTCTCACTAACTAAACTTATTTTATATTTAATATAGTATTCATTATCTGTAGATTATATACCATCCCCTATAAAAAGTATTTCTAAAATTGTTCTCAGTGCATGGAACTGCTGCTGTTACTGTTCTTTCGCTGGCCAGTTGGCCTTCTAGCCTATCCAATATTTTTCACATTTCATAGTGAAGTCTTTTTGGCCCAGTGAAGTGTGTGGCTGAGCCAAGCAGAGAAGGCGAGCAAGAGAATGTGAGGCTGTGAGATAGAGTTGCAAGCTAAAAAGAAATCAAAACAACAAACAGCTACGACAACAACAAAAATCTTTTATGTAAAATTGAATATTCATAAGTTGCTCCGCACAACAGCAGCCAGCGGGCGGGGGTAAAAGGTAGGTGTGGCAACAGCAGGCAGGAGCAGCAGCAGCAGCAGCATCAGCTCAGGATAAAGCCTAGCTGAAGTTGTTGTTGTTGTTGCTGTTGTTGCTGCGGCTGCTGTTGCTGTTTGGACGGCCTGGCAGTTGATTGTTTTTGTGTGTAGTTTTGTTTGGCTGAGTGAACCTGCAGACGCTTACAAACACACAGACACACACACGCACATGCACGTATGCAAAAGTTGCCGTTGTTTGCTATTTTGTCATGCAAATTGTATTTATTGCGGCGCAAGAGCAACAACCACAACAACTGAGAGACAAGCGCCGCGCCGTTGTAATTGTTTGTTATTTGTCATAGTGTATGTGCGCACGTATGTGTGTGTGTGAGGGTGTTGGTGTGTGTGTCAGTGTGTGTGTGGCAGCCATTGTAAACAAGAAAATTGACTGCCGCTGGCATCGTGGCCTGGGCAATACGCATCGCTCGCATTTCTATGCAGCATCAACAGCAGCAACAGCAGCAGCAACAGCAACAACAGCAGCAACAACAACAACAGCAACAGCAACAACAGCAACAGCAACAGCAACTGCAGCAGCAGCTACTCTATAAAACATAGCAGCAACACAATGCCAAGTCAAGTTTTTCCCGTCTATCGATCAAATATGCAAAATTCAACGTAACTCACACACACTCACATACACCCACTCACTCACATTTACACACACCAACGCAGTCCATTTGCCGGAGCTGCAAAGTATGCTACAATAAGCCGCAGGCGTTGCTACCGCAGGCAGTTAATTGCATTAATATCTCAATGTGCACATGAAATGGCATTTTAATAGGTAGAACAGATAGAGAAACAGAGCCACGGAGATAGGTGAGATAGTTTGATAGAGAGAGAGAGGGAAACAGAACGGCAGAGGTAAAGCAAATACCAGCAAATGCTAAGGCAGCTCAGCCAACAAATACAAAATGCAACTGTTTTTAAATCATTGATTGAATATTACAAAAATATTACAAAACTTCAAAGAGCACTACAGAACTAGATATTACTTAGCTACATTAGAGTCAGAAGCCCAGTTGGCTTATTGGCATACCTAGCTCTAGAATGGGATGGTAATGGGATATACAAGCTAGCTAGTAATGGGATATATAAGCTGCATTCAGATACCAAACATTGCTTTAATTGCATTTTATAAAAACTTTTAATATTATATAATATAATATTATATGACTTAATATTTAATATAATATAATATAATATAATATAAATATATACAAATTACATTATTAGTATCTAAAATATATTCAATATTTTTACAAATTTATATTGTTGTCTATATTATTATTATTTTTATTTTTTTAAATAATTTTTATTGAAATATTTTATTTTGATAATAATTTTAAAAATACTCAGAGACCAAAGTTGGCAATGATATATGTTTTATTGTTGTGCTTCAGTTGTTACATAAAAATGAACTAAAATAATAATATTAATAAAATGATATTTATTGCTCTCAAAGTAAACTAAGTTCATGAAAATTAAATAATGTATTCACATATACACATGTCTCGATGAATAATAATTTGATTAACTTATGGGTTGCTTATTTTTAGCAACTAATAAACATAGCTTTTGTAAGTTTATTTTAGCTAGTTAATTTACTTTCTAAATAATTTGATTTATATTGTTTTATGTTTTGTTCGTGTTAATATTTTTTTATGCATTCTTTTATACTTTTACTTATCTCAAATCTTGCCCAACTCTGGTTGGGCTAACAAATGCATTCAGCCGCATGCGAATACGAAAATGTTGTGCATACATTTCGTGTGTATTAGCTTCATAAATGCACGTTTGTATATTTGTGTGTGTGTATGTGTGTTTGTGTGCTTGTTCTATATATGGCCCGAGAGAGAAAGCTGCACTAATTTGATTTGCAGTCGCAAAAATTTACGATTGCATTGTGGCCACTTGTGGGGTTTATGTCGCTGTCGTAAAACCCTGAAAACCCCGCTGGCCAGATGAGGCCACTCACAGCTGCCTGCTAAAAGTCATAATTGTGCCAAGACGGAAACTTAACGAGTGCACGAAAGACGGAGAAAGAGAGAGCGAGAGCGAATGAGAGTGAGAGAGAAGCAGAAGCAGAAGCCTTGCGGCTTACCCGGCAGCCACAATCAATTTACATACTCCGCAGTCATATATAGACACTCAGTCGATAAATTTTAATGCAGCACACGCAGCAAAATCCTTTGCAGGCTAATTCCAACTCGGCTATTAACATAATCCCAACCCAAAAAACACTGTACTTCTTCTTATAGCAGCGCGAAGCGGCATGAAGCATACAAATCCATCAAAGTTTTTGAGTATCTTCCACGCATTCTCTCTCTCTCTCTCTCTCTCTCTCTCTCTCGCTCGCACTCAATGTGAGTTGTCAGAACTGTGATGTGAATTGCCATAGTCAATGGGCAAATGCGAATAAGAATGTGAATGCGAATGAGAATGCGAATGAGAATGAGATTGAGAAAAGGATGGCGCACCGTGTGGCAAATAAAACTCCGAATCGTAAAACGAGCCACGCATCTTGTTTAGAACTTTTGAGGACTGACACGAAGTTTATGGGCGCATTTGAGAATTCATTTAGGCCAAATGATGATTTACCTCATGCTTTAGTTGCCAGCCAGCAGAATACTCGTACTTTAGACACTTATAGTGAGTAGTCAGCAAGTTGGGCTCTGATTGAGCTTCAATTGGTGAGGTGTACTTGAATCTATTGAAGAGACACGATGTGTAATCGAAATCAAATATATGTATATGTATATCTGTCGTTGATGTGTTGATGGCACTGGAAATAGCTGGAAAATCAAGTTTATTGCAAGAGTTTATAGAGATTACT